AGTAGGATTGCCCAACCTTCCTTCCGAGGAGTGGCTGGTGGGTTTGAACCGCCAGCCGTCTGGTTAGCAGGCAAGTGTCTTAGCCACTATGCTACTTTATAGTGTTGAATAAGGGAGAGAACAATTCCTCTTAGGAAGCTGTTTTGGGTTAGGTGAGGAAGAGGTGACCAGCTTTAAGGACTTGCTGGTGGTGGGGGAAAGCAAGAGAGGAAGAACAAGTCAACAACAGAGGTGTCAGGTGTCAAGAAAAGGGCAAGGCCTTGATCTGAACCCCTGGCGTGGTTCTGGAGATCAAGGTAGAAGCAGGAATCTAAGGAATTGTTGAGAGTATCAAACTGTCTAGGAGGAAAATTAGAACGTAACTCACTATGACAATTCTAAAGAGACAAGATGACATGCTGGAGAGGCAAAACACTATGGGTAATTTGTTGACGCTCTGTGGTATGTGGACTCATGGTCATAGGCCAGATTTTCACTCTAAGTCTGCATTGCAATGGAAAGATGTCGTGAGGCAAGAAAAGTGGTGAGGAAAGCTATGCAACTGGAGAATGTGTTCAGAGAAGAAATCGTTTTCACCTGGTTGGAGGCAGCAGAAGTTAAGACATTCTGTTTGTGGTTGTCCTTTTCCTGCATTGATTTTTCCCTGCTCATGGTATATGTCTTTTTTGCATAGAAAGCAACGGGAATTCTGGTGGTCTCAGCCTTACCAGCCCCATTGCTGCCTCAAATCAACTTTATGTGAGTATGCTGATTCTGCAATGTATGTCATGGGATGCCGGCTCACACTCTCTCAGGGCTGGCTTCCTGCACAAGAGAGGGTTTCCACATGTCCCCACTGCTCCAAATAACATCCCCAGCAGCCATGTGAAACCCTACCTAGAATAATCCTTCCCTTGGATTTGGGAAGGTTTTAAGTTTGTGAAAATGCAGATATGCTTGTGCCAGTGACATCTTAAGTCATCCCTCCCCAACTCGATGACCTCAGAGCTCTCTGCAGCTGCGATATATATTATACGTGTACAGGAAGCAAGGAGGCAAAGCCACGAACAAACCTTAATTTAGATTCTATCACTTGAGAAGGGCTAAATATCACACACTGTACAGAAGCTCTTATTGACGGTTGTGTGTGCCTTTGATGAATAAATGCAAGATTGAATCATTACGTAACAAATGCACCTTCTTTGCTAAACAGTACTACTCAAATAGGGTGGGAGAATGATTAGTAAAGGGATCCACGGTGGCAAATACTTCTGAATAACTTACTGCCTTACAAGATGTTGGCCAGGAGGAGCTCATGGAGTAAAGCCCTTCAGAAATGGTGCCCAGGCAGGCCCCTGGAAAGGAGTTAAGGAAGGACATGGTGAGCTGGGCATAGAGAAGAGACTGGAAGGGCGCTGAAGACAATAGTATCAATGTCACAGATTTTCCTGTGATGAACTCTCGTCCTCTCTATTGTTTCCCACTTCTCTAAGCCAAGAATTATTTTCTCCTTTATTTTCCCATGAAAAGATGTATTGACAACTGTAATGACATTTCTGAAGGAAGAAACCACTCATAATTTCTTTATACCGACAATATTTCCCTATATAATAGGATATATTTTACATAGTTGTAATGATAGTTTAATAATAATTGAAGTCAAAGTGGCAATATCGCTTTTAATCCTTTTTTATTTAACAGAAGCATTTTTCATGCCATAATCTTCATAGAGATATTTTATTTCTTCCATGTTTGAAAATGTGTATTCATAAGCTGGATGGAAGTAATTTTTTAGTTCATTTTCCTGTTTCATATGGAAATGCTAATTAGAGTTTGTAATCAGCATCCGATGACTGGATGACCGCTGGTTGACATTTAATTTGCTCATGTAGCCTAAGTGTGATTTATATTAGACTTTTTGAATATCCCATGCTGAAAATAGTTTGCAACCCCTATTACCGTCCTCACAGGTCTCCAGAAACAGAAGCCCCATGGTTGGAATCACTGACTTAAAGGGTCACCCTCACTGGGAACTGATGGAAACGATCATTTCCTAAGCTATTAGATCACTTCTTTTCTTTTCAACTCTGTGGATAATGCTGCAATAAATATTATTTTGTGTCTTCCTGCTCTGCTTATGTATTGCCTTAAGGAAAGAAATATCAGAAGCAGATCACTAGGCCAGAGGTATAGATAAATTTATGAATCAATAAAAAAACAAACTCACTGCCATTGAGTCGATTCGACTCATAATGACCTCTCCTTGGGTTTCTGAGGCAGTATCTCTACAGAAGTAGGTTGATTGTCCAGTCTTCTTAGCCTTCTGGTTAGGAGTCAAATGCCTTAGAGCTCCTATGTTGTTGTTGTTATGTGGCATTGAGTCAGCTTGACTCATAGCAACCCCTCCTTGGGTTTCTAAGGCGGTATCACTACGGAAGTAGATTGCCCAACCTTCCTTCCTAGGAGTGGCTATAGTTACTGAGAAATTCTAGGCTGGTGGAGCTCTAGTGGTGTAATGCCTAAAGCATTTGATTGTTAACCAGAAGGCTGGTAGTTCACACCGACCAGCCACACCTCAGAAAGAACACTGGGCAATCTACTTTATTGCCTCAGAAACCCAAGGAGGGGTCACTATGAGTAGGGACCAACTCAACAGCAGTGAGTTTGGTTGTTTTTTTTTTTCATGTTTGCTGACTGTTACTGAGAAGCTGCTTACTGAAGATGCGCTTGAAGTTGTTCCTTGTGCTTCCATTCTCCCTCCCTCCTTCCCTTCTTACTAAGATCCTAAAATCTGTTGACCTACGCACAATAATTCAGAAATAAGTCCTTACAGAGTTATTTAGGATGAAAAGGAATAGGTTTTCCAGAAGCAAATAGATCCCCATTTGTAACAAGGCTCATAAACACATCAGTTGCTATGTTGTTGTTATGTGCCGTCGAGTCGGCCCCGACTCATAGCAACCCCTCCTTGGGTTTCCGAGGCAGTATCATTACGGAAGTAGGATTGCCCAACCTTATAGGACACTCATTTGTCACTTTGTTACTAAATACTCACTAAATTTCTAGAGAAACAAAGCCAGAAATATTAATTGCAATAATTTTGGCACTTTTGCTTTCCTTATTGTAAGTAAATTAAGCTGAGAAAAGTGTAGCACAGACTATTGTGTTCCCTTGATTTTTGTTTATTTGTTTGTTTGTTTTTTTTTCCTGCTTCGATGATTTGTACCCAGTGAGTTCTATGGAAGAAGGTAAGAAATAGTATTTAGGGAAAAAAAAAATCTCATATCCAAAGTCTTCTAGAAATTTCCAGTTGTTTTCTTAATTCACTTCAATTCAGTTTGTCTATTAGGAGATCTTTCTATGTCCCTAATGGTGTTGTCGAGGAGCTCTGGTGGTGCAGTGCCTAAGGCATCTGACTGCTGACCAGAAGGTTGGTGGTTCAAACCCACCAGCTGCTCTGCAGAAGGAAGATGAAGCAATCTACTTCCATAAAGATTTACCACTTTGGAAACCCAATGGGGGTTGCTATGAGTCGTAATTGACTCCGTGGCAGTGGGTTAATAGTGTAGCCAATAATATCCATATTTATAAAAAATATATCAGTGAAAAGAATGCATATATCATCAGGCATAATTGTCCTAACACTGAAAAGAACAAAAGAAATGCAAAGCAACATTTATATACAGGCCCACTTATGACACAGCATCACAATAAGAACTCAATAAAAGTTGTGAATCTGATCAACTGTTTCAGGTCAACTCCTTTATACACATTATCTTAAAATAATCCTGGAAGAAAATTATTATCATTGCCATTTTATGGATGAAGAGATTGAAGTTCAGAGAAGGTAAGAAAGTTGTCAAAGGTTGCAAGCAGTGCAGTCTGCATTCAAGCTTCCATCTATCTGGTTTGGATCAGTGCTTGAGATGGACCTTGAAACACTGCAAGGACACGGAATAGCATAACAAGAGGCACAGAGGCAAGGAAGAACCAGAGGTCTACTTTGACAGGAATAGAAGATATGTGAGGGAGAGAAGTGGACACAAACCTTTAAGGCTGGGTTTGAGTCGTAGAGGAGTTGCAGTGTTTTACAAGTTATATTCTTTGTGCTTCAGCTAAAGGTAAACATAGCTTATATTCATTACGCACTTACCACGTGCCTGAGCTTTTCATGCTTTATGCCAATTAATCCTATTCTATGTGGCAGGTAAAGCGCTGTAGCGGTATAGTGGTTAAGGCATTTGACTGCTAACCAAAAGGTCAATGTTTCAAACCCACCAGCTGCTCTATGGAAGCTGCTCTTCCATAAAGATTTACAGTCTTGGAAATCCAAAATCAGGGTTTGCTATGAGTCGGAATCGCCTCAATGGCAGTGAGTTTGGTTTGGATGTGGTAGGTATTATGACTATCACTTTGTACAGAGGCTTAGAGAGCGGTAAAGCATCCAACACTCGAAAGCCTATGCTTTTTAAATTTTAACAATTTTATTTTATATAGCCTTTCAAGTCATACGTTTTTCATATAATACAGTTCAGTCCTTTTTATCCCTCCAAGTGAGCAATAGTTCAGTGACATTTACAGAAGGTGTAAGGTATAAGGTGGTCTGAGTTTTAGTGACATAAATCTATACATGGGGAATTTTGTTTTTTAATGCTGACACATTTCTTAAGTTCTATGTTTTCCTTTCTAGAAGATGACATGAAGATTGATGAGAAATGTGTGGAAGCAGGTATCATTTTCTTTTGAAAGATTTGCCACCAGGAGAAACATGAAGCACCTCAGCTATAGACTATCCAAAGTAGAGTCCACCCAATGGGCCACAGATTTTCCTCTGAGAAATGTGTAAAATGCCCCTCCCCACAGCCTTTTCTGTGGTTTTGGCACTTGGAGGGAGAAGCACAGCTGGGGGAAGGGCTCCAGGCCTCACTGACACTTGAGAGTGGTTTCTTGGAAATGATCTAAGGAACACGTCATAACAGAGTATCAGATGGTGGAACACCTGCAAACCACCAAGCTCTTTGTGGAGAACCATAAAATATCAACATTGAAATTCAGAATGGCATATATGTAATTAAGTCTGATACCATCATCTGGTAGATTCTAATATAGATAAATAGTGGGTTCCAAACAATTGAGAAATATATATATATTTTTTAAAAAAAGCACATTTCTGTATTCAGATTTTTTTTTTTTTTTTGTACTTGGGAAAAGATCTTCTCTATTGTAAGCAAGGCTACAATGAATCGTTTTATAAATACATTATTTCACATGTGTGAAAATATAGATGCAGCATTGACTGATCAAAGTGCACATGCATTGGTAATGTTGCTATTTATTTCCAATTGCCCTTCGTATAAATCCTTGCTTCTTACTCCTTGATGTCTCTTTAAATGGGAGGAAGAATTGTTTTCACTAACAAAGAAATTGATTTATTTAAGATCTTAGTCAAACAAACCTACTCAGTCAAGCCATTCATACACTCATCTCATTTGCCACACTCGTCTTGTTGTGGACTCCATCTCTTCAAGTAGGGCACCATTCCTCCCATGTTTGCAAACCCTCTCGTAGCAAAGTTGTGCAATATCCAGCGACCTATCAGACATCCTCATTTTCCCTCCCTTCTGAGTCTTCTTTTCATTTAATGTATTTATGTTAAGCTCCTGCTGCACCCCTGCTTGTCATCCTGGCCCACCTGCTTCATAGCTCTTATCTTGTTTAACGCTTATATAGGCCATAGAGATACCACTGATGTGGCCCCGTTTAGGAAAAAAATTGAAACAGTGGCATGTGCAAAGAAACATAGGGCCAGGGAATTAGACTGCTAAAATACAGACTCAGTGTGGATAATAATGTAAAGGTATTTCTGTTTTTTCTTCTTTTTTTGCCTTCATGGAAAACCCAAGATGAAGAAACATTTGAGTCTGGTAAGTAAAAATGAGCATTTGGTACTGACTTTTAAATATATATTCCAAATTTTGGCATAGTTTAAACAGATATTTAAGGAAATGATATAATATTTTAAAAATGAATCAACAATATCATTGTGAGTACTATAAATTTTACTTAAACCAGTGCTTCTCCATAAGGGCAGTACTGCCCCCTAGGGGGCATTTTGGAGCTTGATGTGGCTTCTTTTTTTATTAAATCATTTTTTCCCTTTATTTTATTATTATTGTTATTTTTATTGTGCTTTGGGTGCAAATTTACAAAGCAGATTTGTTTTACATCCAGTAGTTCATACACATTTGATTTCACGCCCCGATTGCTATCCTCAACCATAAAAAACTCCCCTCCCCTCTCCCATCTGTGACTACCCCCTCCCTGTGCTCTTATCTCTGCATTCTTATCTGTCTCTATGTGAATGCTGCCCCTCTGGTGTCGCATGGCTGAGTGATCCAAGGGGTGCATCTCCCTAGAATAGGTAGGTGCATCAACCTGGGGTAGGTGTTCTGCACGTTGGTCTTTCTACTGTTGGGCTGAGAGCCGATCCACAGAAGTGAGTCCATTTCTAGGCTCGAAGGACAACCCGGGGCCGTAATCTTGGAGGTTTCACCACTTTCTATCCAACCAGTGATTCTGGTGATTTTTGTGTTTTTGAATTTTGTTCCACATTTTTTCCCCTACTCTAACCAGGGTCTCAATTTTGATCCCTTTCCAAGTGGTTGACATTGGTAGCCAGGTACCATGTAGTTCTTCTGTCTCAGAATCATGAAAGCTGAGATCCTCAAGGTCCATCATATCTTTGGACTAAATGTTCCCAGATGACTTTGATTTTCTTCACTCTTTGCTACAGATGAGAGGAGACCAATAGTTGCATCTTAGATGGCTGCTTGAAAGCTTTTAAGATGTGGGACATTTTTTGGTTGTCACAGTAATTGAGGACTCAACTGGCCTTTAATTGATAGAAATTGGGAATACAAGACATCCTGCATTGTATGAAACAATCCTGTATAATGATGGGTTATCCCTAGTCCCACATATCTTCCGAATGTCCTATTGGACGGAACCTATTACATATAAAAATGGATCGTTCTTTATACACAATGTATGTACATGATATGTTCATGTTCACAAGATGTAACATGAAAAGCCTGGTAGTATAAATGATTGTCATGTTGGAGAAAACCATTCAAACAGAATAAAGACACTTGCAATCTACTCCATACATTTTTTCTCCTTCATACTGATAGTAACCTGGAGAGTGAGGTATCTGTACTGAATCGATTATTTTCTTTTTCCTTTAATACACTATTGTTATAGTTGGTGACAAATGGTAAGTATCATCAAAAACAAAAAAAAAAAAAAAAAAAAAAAAAAACCAAACCCAAACTCACTGCCGTCAAGTCAGTTCTGATTCATAGCGACCCCTCCTTGGGTTTCTGAGGCGGTATCTCTATGGAAGTAGGATTGCCCAACCTTCCTTCCGAGGAGTGGCTGGTGGGTTTGAAACACCAGCCTTCTGGTTAGCAATCAAATGCCTTAGGCACTATGCCCCCAAAGCTCTGAGGTATCATCAATTGTCCTCAAAGTAATGCTGACATCATTAGTAACAAAATGGGTCTCACAGAGTATTTTTGGAAAACTTGCCAACTGTTGGAGGCATGTTAACATACTTACCCATTTCCAAAAATTTTGTTTCCTCATTTTCATTGCTCTAGAATTTTTTTTCCCCCAAATTGTGTCAAGGAACTCTGATGAAATAGTGGATAAGGCATTTGTCAGCTAACCAGAAGGTCAGCAGTTCAAACCCACTAGCTGCTCTACAAAAGGAAGATGGGGCAATCTACTTCTGTAAAGATTTACAGCCTCAGAAACCCAGTGGGGGTCTCTATGAGTTGGAACCAACTCAATGCCAGTGAGTTTGGTTTGGTTTTTTTTTTTTTTTTTTGAGAATTGTGTTAGCGTATTATCCCTACTTCAATTAAGGCAATTTTCCTCTCTCTCACCACAGACAAATAAATCTGGACATTCCACATGGGTTTCACCCTATCTTTGATGTGATGAAAAGTATGTGAACTGTTCACTATAGATTAGTAAGTAAGTACAAGTAAGCTCGTACTCAGCTTGCTTACTGGGTACTCTGTCTGTCAGGGATTATAAATTTGAAAAGAGGCTTTGATTCTATAGGGAGGTGCTGTGGCATTAGGAGAGAGATGCCAGCTATACGTAGAACAGAATCTTTGGTGGTGAAAAATGTGAAATTGTTCACTACAGATTAGTAAGTAAGCGCAAGTAAACTCATTGGGTAATCTGACACTGCAAGTACTTAAGTGCTACCTTGCATAATTATGATGAACTTTTACTTGTTCCTTGGGGCAGTCAGTACCAGGTATTCTAAGAACAGCACTGCAGAGTGAAACACGCAGCTGCCCACCCTTACTCTAAATCAGTTCTGGGTGCCTCTTAATTGAGAATAAGAAGTCTCCATACCTTCTGAACCCAGCTCACTTAGGAGCTCAGTTGAAGAACAATTAACACCCAACCAAAGGCACATGTAAGGCTTGGCACTAGCCATGGGTGCCACTTGAAGGGAGGTGCCACTGAGCAGTTTCTATTAACCATCCCAATTTCCATTGCCAGCTGTGAGAGATCATTCAGCAGTTAAAACTAGTACTTTCATATTTGAGAGCCTCCATGGGTCAAGGGTGACTGTATGATTTTGCCCTGCTGAGTGTAGACAGGGAAGGAACTGAAAAATAAGAAATGACTTTGAGCATATTATAGACAACTTTTCATCAGTGAAAGCAAGGAAGGTGCAGTTGTAATTTTTATGTAGTTCCATAATATGTTAAATAAAAGATTAATGAGCTTGACTTATATTTTTGAGCTGATATTATGGTAAAGTTATCTAAAGGATGGGTGTCAGATGTTTGCACAGGGGCACAATTTCAGTGCTTGCTGTAGGTGCTATTTTCTGCAGATATGCTTCTGCACCCAGCTGACATATTTTCTAAATAAGAATTGTTGACATCCATTCACAATGCTTAATTATCTCAGAGCAATTAGCCAGCAGTTAAAGTTCTACAGCCCAGTCTTGACTCTGCTCAGAAGGAACTATCATGTGACCTCCATGAGTTTCTTCTCCAGGAAGTGAAGTATAGTTTATTTAATTAGGAACATTATTTAAAAACAAAAACAAAAAAATCCCCCAAAGAACACAGCACTGTTTCAAGATGTGAGGCAACCTCCCAGGGTTTAACTGGAGATGGAAACATGCGCACTAGACCCTGCATGGGGTAAGCACGGAGGAGCTCCGGCGTGAGGCCGCTGCGGTGGTTGCCCCAGCATCCTCCATCATTGCCTCCACTTCACAGGACTGCAATCATATGGCTTCTGAGAGAGCAGGCTGAAATCAGTTACTTTCCTACAATATCTCTCTTTCAAGTCCCAATCTGTGCCAACCAAGTACAGAAGATCTCTATCTCTCTATCTATCTCTTTATCTATATGTAGATCTATAAAGCCTTCTTGAAGAGTCTTTGGAGTCCCTGGATGGTGCAAACAGTTAATTCCCTTAGCTGCTAACCAAAAGTTTGGATGTTCCAACTGAGCACACTGAGTTCTACGGAGAACTCCACGGAGCACAATTCTACAGTTCTATCAAAAAAGGGGCCTCTGTGAATCACAGTGACTCCACGGCAACTGTTGTTGTTGAGAGTCTTGGCAAGCAATTTGAAGAAAAAGTTATTTTTTCCAAACAACAGAGTCAAGTCAAATGACAGTTTCTGATAATCTCCAGTAGTGTGTTGTTCATTTGCCTTGCCAGGCCTAATCCGAGTTACAGCTTTTGCTAACGGTGACATGAATGCCTCTCTACCGTCATTTGCCTTTATTTGCTGGCTAACTTAAATTTTTCAAAGGTTTCACTTTTTCATGTCTGTTTCTGCACTTACCCAAATATCCAGAGGAGCTTTCAGAAGGTAATTGTTCATTTTTATTTCCTGAGTAAGCCAAATAAAGCTGTGGGTAAGCTCTTTCAGTGCCTCCAAGTGGATACTTGACAGGACAACTTTTATGGTGAAGCTACAATATTTTAAAGGTGAAATAAGTGATGATTGAATTTCATAGAAAATATTTTTAAATCAACAAGAAGGCAATTCAGCTTTTATGAGTACAGTGAAACCGGTGAGAGCTGGAACTCACTGGTTGGGACTGCCTTGGTTTTCAGGGTTTTTCAAGTTCTCCACCTTTGACAGGGTGCAGTCTTACCACTTTTCTAGTGCTCTGTTTGAGTGGAAAATACTTGAATTTTCCTTCTCTTACAGGTTTCCACTTTACACAGCTTCTAGCTTTCGCAGGTTTTATTGTATATCCCTAAATAAACATTTCCTTTAAGTTTACTGGCATATTTTAATTAGAAAAATGGGCTTACTTGCCAAAAGCTGGAATTGATATTAAGGTGTTTTATTTATATTTTAAAATGAAAGCAAAAACAATGATTAAGGAAAAACGTGCTATATATGTCAGCCCACTTTATGAAAAAATGCTCATAGTGGCTAAGACACTTGCCTGCTCACCAGAAGGCTGGCGGTTCAAACCCACCAGCCACACCTCGGAAGGAAGGTTGGGCAATCCTACTTCCGTAGTGATACTGCCTCGGAAACCCAAGGAGGGGTCGCTATGAGTCAGGGCTGACTCGACGGCACATAACAACAACAACAACAACAAGCTCTTTATAGATTTTAATGGTCAGAACAGAGGTGTATAAGTGAAAAATAATATAAGTAAAAAATAATTTTTTTTCCTGATGTTTATAAAAATTATTCTGAGGCCCAGAATAATTTAGAGTTTTGAGTTTAAACTAGTTCTACTTGCTTGTCATAGAAGAAAATTCCAATACTCTGTTAGGAATACAGCAAAGAGGTTTATTGAGGGATAGCTACAGCTTGAATTGGGATCCACAAAGTGAAACTAAGTGTTCTGACAATCTGAGGGAGGGGTGAGTCTTAGTCAGAAAAGTGAGGAAGGAAGTACATGACCACGATCAGGAGTGGAGGTGGGGGCCCAGGAATGGTACAGTTATAAGACAATAACAAGTTAAAATGCTACCAGGTTAGCTAATCCACCCTGTAACATAGACTTCCTGGGATCAACCCAGCAAGCAAACCTCTGAAGTATCTCCATATACATTCCTCCGGGGACATGCTGTGCATGAACTCTCCCAAGACCACCCTAGTAAACATTTCTTTACAAACTACATCCTTGCTTCCTCCATCGTTTGCTGAGGGTGGTTTAAAGTTTTATGAGAAGTTCACAAAGCTCTAAATCACGGGTTCTGTTCTTAGGAAGACAGGAAAGAAGACAAGGTTAAATTTAACTTATTAAAAAAAAAAAAAAAAAACCTGCCGTTGGATCGTTTTTGACTCATAGCGACCCTTCTTTGGGTTTCCAAGGCAGTATCTCTATGATAAATTATTAAAAAAAAAAAAAAAAAAGGGAACCTTAATTCAGACCCAGGTAAGCTCATTTTCAATCATGCCATGCATCTCAGTTTTAGAATGCCTTCACACAGGCTCCTGACCTCTTGGTACTTTTCCTCAGTCAGAAACAATTGGCAGCCATTGAGAAAAATACTAATTCTTCACAGAAAAAAATATTTTATAAGGAAAGACATAAAAACTCAGACATTGTAAAGAAATTATAGGACCTATTGGTTAAAGCCACAATAGTTAAAGCCACAGCCAGTTTGTTATCTGTGTTTTTCACAATCTATTTTCTTAGGGTGTATATGGAAATGTATGCCCAGTCTTTGTGTTTTTACAGTGACTTAATATTTTAGCTACAGATTTAAACAAATATAAAATAGCTTTATGCTTTCATACTAGACAGAATGTATTCAGGAGAATGCTAAAATTCTGAAATATTTCTATGTAACTAGGTGCATGTGAATCATAGGATGGAAGGTGCTTAGAACATTCCTCAATGTAAATCTGGTGTGCCGCAATCTACTGAGATAGTGTCACTTGAAAACTTGATGACAATTTCATGCATCCATTCTAAGTATACTTTCCTTCTCCCTCCACATATCCTGCTCCTGCTGTTCTCTGTGTTGCAGACAAGGAGGAATTTATTGACTATGGTCAGAAGTTCTATATTGGTAGGTGATGATAAATAAGAGCTATTACTTGTTTTTGTCTCACTTCTCCCATAAAATGTAAATTCATGAGAAAATGGCCTTTGTTTAGTTGACCCAGAACCTGGTACAATGCCTGGCAGATAGTAGATACTTAAGATAACATATCGGTAGTTTGTTATTTTTCCTTCATGTCATCTAACTTCAGACAGACATGATTATATTCACTAACACTTTAGGATTATAGTCACTATGTGCTTCATTAGATTTGAAGGAAGAAGTAACCTCTTCTGCCCCAGACATTATGTTCTGTGTTTCTCTACCCCTGCCCCCAAGCTGGCTTCCGCCGCAGCATGCGCCTCTGTCGCAGGAAGTCTCACCTCAGCCATCTGCACAGCAGTGTGGGCTGCACCAGCAGCTGCTATGGTGTGGTGGGCGCCCCTTATGAGGAGGTGGTGAAGTACCAGCGATGTCCCTCAGACAAGCACCGCCTGATAGTGCTCGTGGGTATGTCCCCCATGTTCCTACTTTCCTTTCCCGCAGGGAGGTTTTCTTTCTAGATTCAATAATCTTGCGTTACAGTAGTGGTAAAAGCAGGATTTCCTTCAGGACCCCCATAAAAACACCTGGTTTTGTTTTAATAAAATTTGTATTATTTGTGTGTTTATAAATAAATAAAACTTCATTGTATCATGCTTTTATTGTCTACAATAGAATGTGGTATGCCATGGTATATATGAATTTGTATCATAAATTGTATTATGATGAGGTGATAAATTAGATTTTTATGCTATTTAGAATGTGTTAGATAAGCATAGATGAATGTTCCTCCAGACTGGATCACCGGTCCGTATTAGGTCCATTTCCCTATGAAAATTTGTAACCACCCTATTTTGAAAAGTGTCTAAGATCTTCTGGACTATACCTTTGGTGCTAAATAACAGGACAAACATAGTATTGGGGTGACTTGTTTTTGTGACCAAGATCTCTACAGTGTTGGTCCCTATAGCAGTAGCAATATATATCTTAGTATCCTCCTTTTTGTGTACCCCAGGTGTGATCAGAGCTGGCTCTATAGAGCACAGTAACATTTCCTGCAGCCAGGACCAGCTACATAATTTGCAGGGCCCCATGCAAAATGAAAATAGAAGGACTCTTTGTTCAATTATTAAGAACTTTAAAATAGGAATAACAGTATTAAATCAACAGGGACCCTTCTAAGCATGGGCCCTATGAGACTGCACAGTTCATGTGCCTATGAAGTCAACCCTGCCTCCAGCTGGACATGGGGGTGCCGACTCAACCACCTGTCAGGAAACATGCCCCCTGAATTCTATAAGTCACATAACCTATGACAGTTGAGTATGATTTCTGGGTTATGACATGATAGAAACTTCATTTGAAGAAGAAAGGCAGGTTGTCTCAGATCATCTCTACTGAAATGAGGCTAGCAAATTCCCAGTGTGCAATATTAAACAAAGTTTTCTGGGGTAACAGGTTCTTGCAATTCCCTACCTCATTTCTGAGTGTTAAAGAAATGTGGGTTACTCCACCAGCCACCAGGAAAATTCCCAAGAGCATTTTGGAGTTCCAGTCTGTGAGAAGGGAAATTATGTAATTTCCTTAAAAACATTTGCTCCCAAGTTTCTAATTGTTCAATAGAGCAATGATGGCTTCATCACCACATAATTGTATTTATTCACATTTAATGGTTTCCATATGTGACTTTGTGTGTGTGTGTGTGTGTGTGTGTTTAGGACCTTCTGGCGTTGGAGTCAATGAACTGAGAAGACAACTCATTGAAATCAATCCCAGCCATTTTCAAAGTGCTGTGCCACGTACGCATAGTTTTTCTTTTATAGTAATTTATGTTTTTATAAAACTTTCTTTGCCTCTGCAAACATACTGATCTAACTTAACTATGTCATGCCACCTTTGTTGTAAAAGCAGGAGACACAAGGGACAGGCCCTTAAGTATTTCTAACTATATTTATTTTAATAAAAAGAATTAATTTACTGGCATGTAGCCAGCTAGGCTTTTAAAAGGTGATTCTGTCTTTTTTTCCATTTCTTAATAATCACATAGATGACCTTTTAGGAAAAGTAATATTTAATAATAATAGCTAACATTCATTCAGTCCTTACTACTTTCCATGCATTGTACTTGGTTCTTTAAACACCTTGTTTTATTATTTAGTTTCCATTTGGGAAAAAAAGTAATGTATACACATATAATTTTAAAACAAGGAGCTTTGGTGGTATGATGGGGCTTGGCTGCTCACCAGAAGGTCAGCGAGTGGTTCAAAAGGCTATGTGCTAAAGACACTCAAGGGAAGGGAGAAAAGACCTGGTGATGTGCTTCCAAAGCTTACAACCTAGGAAACCTACAGAGCAGTTCTACTCTGTCCTATAGATCTGCTATGATTTGGAATTGGCATACAACAATGGTTTTAAAGCAATTGAAATATACCACACATACTAAAAAACTCAAACTCACTGCCATGGATTAGATTACAACTCATAGTGATGATTTCCAAGGCTGTAGATCTTTACAGATCACCTCATCTTCCTTCTGCAAAGCACCCAGTGGGTTTAAACCACCTACCTAAGTCACTTGACTGCTAACCAGAAGACTGGCAGTTCAAACCCACCAGCCACTCCTCGGAAGGAAGGTTGGGCAATCTACTTCTGTAGTGATACTGCCTCGGAAACCCAAAGAGGGGTCGCTATGAGTCAAATCCGACTCGAGGGCACACAACAACAACAACAACCTTCTGGGTAGCAGCAAAATACCTTACCCCACTATACCACTACACAATGGTTTTAAAATGGTATTCTCTTATTTTCCTTTGATCTTTGTCTTCCTTTCTTCCGCTACGCTCCTCCTTCAGCACTATCCCCAAGTCCTAAGCCAACTCCTAGTACATAATTTTCCAGATTTTCTCCTTTTTTAAAAAAAAAGCTCTAAGAATTTGAGAACTGTGCTTCTAAAAAAATTGTTACTTGTTTCATACTGTGATTCATCCTTCTAAAAAAAGAAAACTTTAAAAATCACTGTAAGAATACCTGTTTTTTTTTTTTAATAATAGAAAAGATAAAGATTTGTGATAGCATTCCTGAATTCAAAAAAAGAGAAGGCTTAAAATAATGCATAGTTTCTTACATATACAAACGGATATCAAAATGTAAGTTATGACTGAGGCACTAAGATGAAAATCTTTAAATAAGGTATGTGAAAACCAGTTAAGCCCCTCACAGACATCAAGGGTATAAAAGGATTGAGAAGCGACATTAACTGAGAATTCTGTGGAAGGACTGTATTGAAAAGAGCTATGCTGTGAGTTCCTCATAGTGGGCAGGTAGAGTGTGCATGTGTGGAAAGGGTGTTTCCCCCTTACCTTATGGCAAAAAAAAAGAGGAATTTAAGGAGACCACTCAGAGATCTAAGTTGTTGTTTGTTGTTACATGCCATCAAGTTGATTTTGACTCATAATGACCCATGTGACACAATAGAACTGACCCATAGGGTTCTATAGGCTGTAATCTTTGTGGGAGCAGATTACCAGGTCTTTCTCTTGTGGAGCTGCTGGGTGGGTTGGACCCAGCAACCTTTTGGTTAACAGCCACACACTTAACCATTTGTGCCATCACATCACAGGAAATGTACCATCCAAACATAAGCTATGGCTGCTGTTACTGCTACCTGGCAGCCCTTAGGCAACTCAGGGTTCATGTGTAATTCACTAGGGCCTGTTCTGAAGAATAGCAGGCTATTACAGTGTTTCCTTTAAGCCTCCTGGTCCTGGCTTAATATTTTGTATGTTGTCTTCCACACTGTGAGCACTCTATAAAGATTTATAGAGGAACTTATTTTGTTATGGAAGCTACTACCTTATCACTAATTTAGACTTCCTCATTTTGATTCTAGCATTTAATATTTATCTATCTGTTTATGTGTTTATTTACTTTCATTGGACATTTTAGTGCAAGTGGATATTGATAATAAAACAAACACTTTGAAAAATCTGAAACCTTTCATTCTCTTTTTTGATAGACACTACTCGCCCCAAAAAGAGTTATGAAATGAATGGGCGTGAGTATCATTATGTGTCAAAGGAAACATTTGAAAGCCTCATGCATAGCCACAGGTAAGGTACAAGTTCAGAATGTAATTCTTGTATCTGATTGCTTTATATTCAAAACACATTCCCTATTTTTCATCCACTGTCTAAAGGTATTGTGGCAATTCTGTTGGTTTCTGAAAAAATAAACAAGGAAATGGACGTTGATATACTAATACGTCAACTCATTGGGTTTGGACAGGGAGCAGAGTTGTGATGCAACCTTTAGAAAATGTGAGGAAGTAGTCAAGTTTTCTTGTTGGTAGGTGCTGTGAAGTCGGCTCTGACTCATAGTGTCCCTGTGGACAACAGAAGGAAACACTGCCCAGTCCTGCACCATCCTCTCAGTCCTTGCTGTGCTTGAGCCCATCAGTGCAGCCACTGTGTCAATCCATCTCATTGAGGGTCTTCCCCTTTTTTGCTGACTCTCTTCATTACCAAGCATGATAGCCTTTTCCAAGGAATGGTCCCTTCTGACAATATGACCAAAGTAGGTGAGATGAAGTCTGGCCATTCTTGCTTCCAAGGAGCATTCGGGCTGTATTTCTTCCAGAACAGATTTGTTCGTTGTGGCAGTCCATGGTATTTTCAGTATTCTTCGCCAACACCACAATTCAAAAGCATCAATGCTTCTTCGGTCTTCCTTATTTATTGTCTAGCTTTCATACGCATATGAGGTGATTGAAAATACCATGGCTTGGGTTAGGCACACCTTAGTCTTCATAGTGACATCTTTGTTTACTAACACTTTAAAGAAGTCTTTTGCAGCAGACTTGCCCAGTACAATATGACATCTGATTTCTTGACTACTGCTTTCATGGGAGGAGCTCTGGTGGCGTAGTGCCTAAGCCATTTGACTGCTAATCAGAAGGCTGTGGTTCAAACCCATCAGCCACTCCTCGAAGAAAGATTGGACAATCTACTTCTGTAGTGATACCACCTTGGAAACCCTAGGAGGGGTTGCTATGAGTTGATTGACTCAATGGCAGTGAGTTTGTTTTTCTTTTTTGGATGCGTATCCACTAATTCTTTTTGTATTAGCAAGATCCATATGTTTATATTCTTTTCTATTGGAATTCATCTTGTTACCACTATACTATTTTACTTATAGAAAGAGTTCTTATTTTCTTGTCACATCCTTGCAGGATGCTGGAGTATGGTGAGTACAAAGGCCACCTGTATGGCACTAGTGTGGATTCTGTTCAAGCAGTTCTTGATGAAGGCAAAGTCTGCGTCATGGACTTAGAGCCTCAGGTGGGTTTGTCGTGGAATATTTCCCATCTCTTCTGGGGTGGTTAAGTTTGCGTGTCAGCTTGGCTGGGCCTGGTTGAGTGTTTGGGCAGCTGGTGGTAGTTATTCCCTGTGATGAGACTGGCAATCAACTCCATGGTGGGACCTACTATAAGCAGCTGAGTAGCTGCTTTAGGGATGTGGTCTGCTTCTTGTACATAAGAAACAGCTTTGGAATTGTCTCTAGTTTATGGCATGCTTGAACCCTGCATGTAGCTATGTCGTTGTTCAGCAGCCTGCTATGCTCTGCTGACCTTGGGACTTTCAATGGACTTGAATTAATGGCCTGCTGTGTGGTTAGGTAACATCGGGACTGTGCCATTTTGTCAACCTTGGGCTTGTTAGCCTCAGCAGCCAGTAGCTGCCTGAGTGAAGAGATGCCTCTAGCTTCATTGGGTGAGGAGCAAGGGGCAGAGCTGAAGCCCAAGGTCAAGGAGCTTTCACACAGCCCCTAGAGCCTGGCACTTTGAATTCAGACTTCTAGTCTCCCGACTGTAAGAGAATAAACTCCTGTTTGTTCAACAGGAGTTCAAGCCATCTCATTTGTGGTATATTCTTGCCAGAGTGGCACTAGGTAACCGGGACATCCTCAAAATAATGAGTCCATGGCACCCATTTTATGCATATGCTATGTGGTTCAAACCCATCAGCCACTCCTCGGAAGGACGGTTGGGCAATCTAATTCTATAGTGATACCGTCTTGGAAACCCAACTTGACAGCAATGTGTTTGGTTTGGTAGGTTATACTTGAAACACACTGTTATTTTAGGATAAGACCACTTCCCATACCCAGGGACCATGATCTTCCTTGAAGAATCAGTTGCTGTCATCTTGCCTTCGACTGGGGGAAGAAGTCTTGCTGCTCAGACACAAAACTAGAACTGAGTGGGTGAGCATAAGAAAAGTTGGAATTCTTGCCTTGATCTTGATCCCAAAAGCATCAAGGTAACTTCTTGTGGAGGGAAAAGCCATTGTTTTACACAAGAAGGCAAGATTCTCATGTCAGATCTGTAGCTACCTCCTGAGACCATATGTGGACTGGAGAGGAAGTGAGCAAGTAAGATAAGGAACATAAAATGTGTAGGTCAAAATTTTATGATGCTTATATTGTGTGTGTGTGTTGGTGTGTGTTTGCATGCACACTTTCCTTAAGGTGTGCTAAAGAGAATCAAGGGAAGAGAGATATGCTCTTAATTATGTCAAAGCTGGTGGTCAGCATGAAGATGGCAGGAGTATCCAATATGAGGTAATAGAGGAAAGGGCAGTGAGGGTGAAACAGAGCTGATCCACCTTGAAAATGCAGGCACTGAGGTCTTGTGGCAGTACAAGGTGGCCATATACATGATCCAGAAACAATTTTATTAATTTGTTTAGATAGCCATCAAAGTGAACACACAATTTTAAACGCCCGTAACACTCAGAGAATGCAGCCATGAGGTTTTATATAGAATCTTACTCTCAGATTTCAATAATACCACAGCTAGTAAGTGGAAGAGCCAAAATGTAAACTTAGTTTTCATTCTAGAGCACTACTCTTATCAAAATTTTTGTTTGATTTTTTAAGAGTTGAGGACTTGAGGGGAGATGAGAATATATTCTAGCTAAAAATAATTGCTGATTTCTAAAACTCAACTCACTGCTGTCAAGTCAAATCCGACTCATAGCGACCCCTCTTTGGGTTTCCGAGGCGGTATCTCTATGGAAGTAGATTGCTTAGTCTTCCTTCTGAGGGGTAGCTGGTGGGTTTGAACCGCCAGTCTTCTGGTTAGCAGTCAAATGCCTTAGGCACTACGTCACTAATTTCTAGTCATAATTTTGAGAACATTCATATTGACTCTAGGAAATTTGGACTTCTGTTTTTAAACGTACATTTAATTTTTCTGTATAGGGTATTCAAGTGGCTCGAACCCAAGAACTGAAGCCTTATGTCATATTTGTAAAGCCATCTAACTTCACTTGTATGAAGCAGTCTCGGAAAAATGCCAAGATCATCACAGACTACTTTGTAGAAAGGAAGTTCAAGGTAAGATACAGAGGAAGTGATTGATTTAATTTTTTTCTAGTAAAAAATCACAGTATTGCTTCCACAGAATTCCTATGTTAAGGAATGTAATATTACTAATACATAATATCCTTTTAATGTATTCTTTTTACTGGACATCATTTACAGATATTAAACTAAAGTTTAATAAATGCCAAGGTCCAAAAGCCAGTTTGCAAATCTTGACCTTCACGTAGGGCATTGGGTGTGCACAAGCCAGTATCTGTATTTCAAGAGGATTATTTATAAGAAAGTTCTCTTTAAAAATGCTGTAGTAAATATACTTTGCATATAATGTCAGGTGTCTTTATTACCTGATCTTCCATTATTTTTTAAAAATATTTTTTCAATGACTGTTTTATGACAGACTGATCCTCCAGGTTGCCTTTAGTTCAGTGAGTGCATTCTCTGAGTGTTATGGGCATTTAAAATGGTGTTCTCATTTTGATGGCTATCTAAACAAAAATAAAATCATTTCTGGATCATGTATATGGCCACCTTGCACAGGAGTACTGTCATAAGATTTCAGTGCCTGCGTTTGCATTTGTATTTATGATTGCATTGGCAACAAGTAATGTTATTTTAATTGTCATGGACAAGTAAGAAAATAACAGCTATAAATTACCATTTTTATGAAAGTGGCCATTTTGTGTCTGCAAAATAAAGTAATTCTTAGCAGATTAATGTTCTTTTGAATTTTGTTTCATTTATATTTGATAAATTTGCTTTGATTTTGTGTTGCATATGGTTCAATAGTTTTAAGCATTTAATATAATAAAATATGTCCGAGTAGGAAGTTGAGTGGTCATTTATTTGACCTAATTGTTTATAAAGAGCTTCTAACTGAGTGTGACAGCGTAACAAACTGTGTGTTAATTCAATTTGTCTAATTAAATCTGTGCTGTGCATATTTTTCTATTTCTCCTGAAGGATGAAGACCTACAAGAGATGGAGGAGTTAGCCCAAAAAATGGAGACACAGTTTGGCCAGTATTTTGATCAAGTGATTATGAATGACAACTTGCAAGATGCATGTGTCCAGTTGTTGTCAGTAGTGAGGAAGGCTCAGGAAGAGCCTCAGTGGGTCCCAGCAACGTGGATTGCTTCTGCTACTGAGTCTTAGTCTTAGTCCTGGACTTTTAACAATGTATCTTTATTACAGGTATTTGAAATAATAACTGCAATATCAATACACTATTTGATCCATTTTAACATGTGCAACTTTAGAAGCCTGTAGTTTATTAATTAATCTTATTTGAAAATAAATGTATATTGCATGGTTATATAGATTGGCTTTGGAGAAACGGTTTTTTCCTTCACCTCCTATGCAACAATTGTAGGAACATGATAATGTCCTCACTGAATATGAGAACCTTTCATTGATTTCATATGATCTTTGTAGGACTCTGATAGAGTTTTTCCTAAATAAAGTATGCAATATTTCAATCCAGAAACTGTGTTTTACTATATAAAACTCGTTTTATGAAAATGTGTTGGTTACATCATGCTCTTTTCCAAAAAGTGCCTTGTGGTAGTTAAATTTGTATGTCAACTTGGCTGGGCCTGGTTGAGTGGCTGGGCAGCTGGTGGTAGTTATTCCCCATGATGAGACTGGCAATCAATACCATGGTGGGATCTACCACAAGCAGCTGAGTAGCTGCCTTTGGGATGTGGTCTGCTTCCTGTATATAAGGAAAAGCCTTTGGGATAGTCTCTAGCTTATGGCATGCTTGGGCCCTGCATGTAGCTGTGTCATTGTTCAGCAGCCTGCCATGCTCTGCCAACCTTGGGACTTTCAATGGACTTGAATTAATGGCCTGTCGTGTGGTTTGGTAACATCGGGACTGTGCCATTTTATTTGTCTACCTTGGGCTTGTTAGCCTCAGCAGCTGAGTAAAGAGAAGCCTCTAGCTTCAGTGGGCTGGGAGCAAGAGGCAGAGCTGAAGCCCAAAGTGGAGGGGCTTTCACACAGCCCCTAGAGGCTGGCACTTTGAACTTGGACTTCTAGCCTGGAGAACTGTGAAAGAATAAACTCCTGTTTACTCAAGCCATCCCATTTGTGGTATATTCTTGTCAGCGTGGCACTAGGTAACCAGAACATGTGTATTTTAGGAAGTCAGCAAGAAAAGTTAATATATACATTTCACGTGTAACATCATAACCTCAGGAACTGCACTGCCCCAATATTTACAAATCAGTCTACAAGAAAAAGATGATTATTCTGATTAGAGGTATCACAATCATTAATCTTCCTAAAAGCCCAACCTTCTTTCCAAGGAGGTGCTGGTGGGTTTGAACCACCAGCTTTCTGATTAATAGTCAAATGTCTTAGGCACTATGCCACCAGAGCTCCCATACTTAAATTGTTCTTGTTACCTGCCGTGGAGTCGGACCAACTCATAGCGACCCCTCCTTGAGTTTACCACGCAGTATCACTACGGAAGTAGATTGCCTCTCTTCCTTCCGAGGAGTGGCTGGTGGGTTTGAACCTCCAGCCTTCTGGTTAGCAGTCAAGTGACTTAGGCACTATGTTACCAGCGCTCCTATGCTTAAGTAAGGAAAGGGCAATTGGTCCAAGCGGCCAATATACGAGAAAACCACAAGATGGAGCCCTTACTCCGCGAAGTCTCTTTCCTTGGGACTGGGACTTCCAGTTTCTTAGCATCTGTGTATCTTCTGCATCATTCTCTGCTTTTTCCATATTCATACCATCCCTCCACCCCTATTTTTTTTTTTTTTTTTCTCACAAAACCCTGAAGAAAATTAAAATTTGATAATACTTGAGTCCGGGTTTGATTTTACGTGGTGGTTCGTTGAGAGCAAAAACCAAACCCACTGCCACCAGTCGATTGGACTTATAGCCACCCTGTTGGAATTGGGAGCGCTGGTAGCATAATGCCTAAGGCCCTTGACTGCTAACCAGAAGGCTGGAGGTTCAAACCCACCAGCCACTCCTTGGAAGGAAGATGGGGCAATCTACGTCCGTAGTGATACTGCCTCGGCAACCCAAGGAGGGGTCGCTGTGAGTCAGGTCTGACTGGACAGCACATAACAACAACAAACAACATGAGTTGGAATTGACTCCATGGCAGTGAGTTTGGTTTGGTTTGATTGGGACAGAGAGTAAGCTCCCTGAGAAAGCTGTGAGAACTGCACTGAAGCGTTGGGCGTGGGGTTGTGTGTGGGGGGGTAAGCGCCTCCTTCCCTAACACTCGGCGGACTCAGAACCCCAGCTTCGTCTCTGAACGCCAGGCCTAGCCACACTAAGGCGGGCGGAGTCCTGGCCCCGAGGGCGGCGGCCTAGTCTGGCGGCCTGGAGCCCCCGCCTTCCTCAGGTCCCGGCCCGCGGCGGCTGCGCCCATCCTTGGGGAGAGCACTATGAGGCCCGAGTCGAGGTCTCCGCTGGAGAACCAGGTAAACAGGAAGGGCCCTTTCACGAGAGGTGACGGGTTGAGGGTGGGCACCTTAAGAGAATGGATGCCCCGGGGCGGGGCCGACGCCAGCCGGCTAGGGAACAAATAGGGAGGAAGGGCTCTGTTCGCAGGGTGAGCGAATATGCCCTTTCAGCGCTCAGCCGACTGGGAGGGGTCTCGGAAGTTCCTTTCTAAGAAGCCTGGACCCCCAACTCCTGGAGCCAGGCGGCATCTTCCAAGGGCCCGAGAGCCCACGTTGCCAGGACGACACAGCACTTGGCTCCGCCCGGGCTATGGCGGATTTCAGTGCTGCCAGCGAGGCTCCTCCTGAAGACTCCTTCAGAAAGCCTGACAGCCACCCAGCTTTGAAAAGCTGTATGCAAACGGGACACTTTTAATCATGTTTTTCTCTCACGTCCCCCAAACAAATCACAACCACTCCACAACCACTCGAAAATCCACTGAGAAAAGAGTGATTGATTGCAATCCCGTGTCCGCCGGATTCTCTCCTCCCGGACACGTCAGTCCTCCTTTCGACGCCCCTTTTCCCGCAGGAGTGTATTGGAAGGATCACACCAGGTGCCGGCGCCTCGCCGCAACCCTCCCAGACCCCGGAGGAGGCTGTGGGAAGGTGGCGGCCGGCGCCTTGCAGCCCGGAGACGCGACTGCGCCTGCGTGCCCGGCAGGCGGGCGGGAGAGGTTGACACAGGGCGCGGGGGCGGGGAGCAGCCTGGGAGCCCGCTTTTACACAGAATGGGAAAGAAGCAGGTGGTAAGCGAGGCGTAGATACGATTATTTATTTGGATTGTTAAGATTCTTGCTTGAGTTGACTTGTCCTACGTTTGAGGGGCTTACAAGTTGGGTTTCTAGAAGGGCGAAACGTCATTTTTGCGGGACTTTTGAAATGTGAAGTTACCGAGTGACCTGGGTCCTTGTATAGAACACGATTCACGGCATCTTTAGAACAATAACGCGTTCATCTTTTTTTTTTTCCAGTTGTAATTTAGGTAGTACGAAGACTAATCTTACAGCAGCTGTATTAATATGCTTTTTTAAGAATAGATTGCTAAGTGGGAGAGTTGTAGAACCAATTACAAGAGTGTCAAAAATGTAAGCCTTTTGATTCATTGTCTTCTGCAAGCATGAGATCATAGAAACATTAAACTGATTTCTAAGTATTTCTGTTAGAATATTCTGTCCAAATATTCTTTTATTTTGAAAGATTGTAGAATGCCTCTTTAATGTAATGCAATTTGGATTACAAACTTCTCTTATTCATGTGAGACAGCGTTTGTAAGTCACGCCCCCCCCCCAGCACCCCCGTTCGTGCGCACTAAAATCAGTTGTTAACACTGTATTCACAGTGATCTTTTAAAAAGCATATTACCAAATGGCTTAAAACCTCCAGTGGCTTTTTACTAAATTAAAACAAAATTCAGACTCCTTTCCTTGGTCTGCAAGGCTCTAATTAACTGCTCCCTACCTACCTCCTCTTGGTTAACTGTGCTGCATGCTCCTTGGAGTTGTAACCTCTGCTTGAAATGTTGGCTCCTTGTCATCCAGCTTCAGTTCAGGTATCTCAGACTTTCCCTGACCAAAGGTAGCACTTCTCATCCCTGCCCCCCTCACTGTCCTATTACTTTCTATTATTTTTTTTTCTCCTGCTAGTTGGTTACTAGAATGTAAGTCCATGAGAGCAGAGATCCTCTGGTTTGTTCATTAGTATATGCCCCAATCCTAAGAACAAAACCTGGCCTAGAAAGGAAGGAACGTTATATGATATTCAGAAATGGTGGAATAAATTTTAAAACGCCTGTGTCATTTTCATTAGTACCTCCCAGGTTTTACTCACGGACAAGGGGTATCAGATTTGAAGATACTAATCTAATGCATTGTATTTTTCTGTGATGTTTGAACAACAGGCTTTTTAAAAGAATGGCTTCATGGTATTGATGTACATGAAGTAAAGGTGACCTAGGCTTTTACTTACAAGCAGTGTTCTTTTTCCTTCTCCAGCGTCCTCCACGAGCCCTTCCACCTGTGCCAAGGTAAAAATAATTTTGTTTTAAAAGCATTATTGGACTTTGAAAGTCCAAAATGAATAAAGTGAAAAAAAAAAAAGGCTAGTACTATTATAAAACTATAATGATTTAGAAAATAATTCCTAAAATTTTTATGAAAAAACTTCCTAAAATTTTAAGGGTAGGACATCTTTGAATCATTAGCATAAGAGGTATAATTAAATGTTTGATTTAAAAGCCTAAATGTTAACATGGTATAATAATGCTTTCATTCTGAATGTTTTAGTGTCTTGTGTATCAGAATTGTTTATGAGAATGTTTATCAGAATTCTGATCCTCTTTTGTTTGCTAGAATAGTTTCCCCAGAGTTTAAGCTGATTTTATCACTGAGAAAATAAGAGTTCTTAATCTACTTAATCCACTTTATCAGTGGGCAGAAGGGAATGTATATGTATGTTCATAACATATTGGGACGATTTTTTTAGCATTCTTGTTAAGCAGCTTATTATTTGTAAACAAACAAGTTTGTAAACTAGCTTACATTGTCCGAAAACTAAATTTATTTTAAATTTGTAATGATTGAAGCAAATTTTCAGTCTGAAAATACAATAGATTTCTATTTAATGGAGTTTCTTTTTTGTCTTTGTTCTGCTGATTAAATTTGGCCAATGACATGTAAAAGTGCTGTTCAAGGTGAGTTAGTTCATTGTTAATGTAAAACTTCCTAAATATAAAAGAAAAAAACAGAACTTCCTAAATGTAGTATTTGGTATTCAAGTTAATTTGATTCCATAGTGTTTCTCTTAAAAAGTGAATTTGCATGGTATCATTCATAATACTACTAAATGCCTTTTTCCCAAACAATATCTTTATCATAATAATCTCCCCTGACTGCTATTTTTAAATGATGGTTGATTTACAACAGTAGCTGACCTTAGAAGTGTACAAGTACTTATCCTTGAAAGTAGTCACCAGGAGTGTGACTGTTGGGTAGTCTATAGCCCTGTAATAGGGACTATACCTTCCTTTGTCTCATTTAGTCAGGGTAGGATAAGTTATACTGTGGTAACAACTCCCAACTCAGTAACTTACTGAAACGTTTCTTTCTGGCTCAGGCCAAGTCTAACATGGGTTGTGGCAGCAATCCACAGTGATTATCTTGTACTAACTGTTTACCAATGATGTAGTGATCCAGGTTACATCCAACTGGTGGCTCTGCCATCTTAACACGAGGCTTCCTCAGGTGCCACAACAAGGGAAGAGAAAACTGGACAGTTACTTACTGGTTCCTTCTATGTTTTGGCCCTAAAACGACACCGATCACTTCTTGTAGTCTATTGGCCAGAACCAATCATAGGCCATACCTAAGTATTAGGGGGTGAGGAAATGTAGAGGAACGAACAGAATATTGAATGAGCCCTCTTTCTCCATCACAGTTTCTAATGTTGACCAGCAGTGTTACTGGTACAACACCATGGACTCTGATTGTGTTGATTTCTTGCCTTATTCCCTGTGAAGAAGTTGACAAGGCCCAGGGAAGAGAGGGAAATACTTTCTCTTCTGAGTGTTCTTTGCATTGAATTTTAGGCAACATTTTCTGTTGTTATCTTATTTTTTTGTTTTATAGATGATGTTCCACTTAATCGTCCTAAGAAAAAGAAGCCAAGGCCAAAAAGCACACTAGGTAAGAAGTTCTTTATTGTGTGGAATCACAAGTTTTCCCAGGATCTCAGGCATAATACACATCACGGATCAAATAGAGGCAAGCTTCCAGCAGTGCCAACTCACTGCTGCATTGAGGACAATATTAAGGCTAGGTAGTTTGAAGGAGTGGGATTCCTGGTGTTAGTGAGGGGCAAAGCAGTGGACAGCCTGGAGAGTGCCTTAGAAGCATTCATGGGCTATGCCATCTAAGTTCTTACACAGTGTTCTCAGTCCTTCATCCCGAGAAAATATAAATTGTCTTAAGCTATGTGGGTTCCAGACCCTTGAACATGGTACTGGATTTAAAGAGACAGAATTTGTGGATCCCTCATTTCAGTCGGAGAACCTCTCCATTAGAGCCTGAAGGCAGGACTACATCACCTATGTATTAAACTTCCAGTAATGAGCAGGTTCTGTGAAGTCCTTTTTGTTTTAGTTATCCACTAATAATTTATTCTGGATGTCCTGCCAGTAATTCAGACTCAACATGTCCAGAATTTATCGTCTTCAACAATAAACCTGTTCTGACTTCCCACAAATATCTGTTAATGGAACTCCAACTCTCCCAACCACTCAGGCGTGAAACCTTAATGCCACTTCTAACTGCTTCCTTTACTTCCCTCTTTACTTGTGGCTTTTCATGCTTGCTTCTTTATGGTATCTCTTTGATGTTTATTTTCCTCTTTCAATTCCACTGTCACAAGTGTAGTTTAGCTCCTTTCCTCTTCTCACCTGAACTATTGGAGTAGCTTCCAACAGGCCCTGAACATCTAGCTTTCCCCCTGTCTGATCAGTTCTGCCACCACTGCTGGGTAGGGTTTCTTAAAGCTCATAGCTGATCATTCCTTACACCTGGTTGGAAACTTACATTGGCTGATGTTCTGGTTCTTTAGTGCCACTCTGACAGGAATACACCACAGATGTGATGCCCTTAACAAACAGGAGTTTATTCTTACAATTTGGAGGCTTTAAGTCCAAGTTCAAAGTGCCAGGTTTTAGGGGATGGGTGAAAGCCCCTCAACCTTGGGGTCCAGCTCTGCCTCCTGCTCCCGGCCAACTGGAGCTAGAGGCATTTCTTTACTCAGACAGCTGTTGGCTGCTGCGGCTGAGAAGCCCCAAGGTTGACAAGTAAAAAGGCACAGTCCTGATGTTACCAAACCACACGGCAGGCCACTAACTTAAGTCCATTGTAAGTCCCAAGCTCTGCAGAGCATAGCAGGCTGCTGAGCAATGACACAGCTACATGCAGGGTCCAAGCATGCCACAGGCTAGAGACCATTCCCAAAGCTTCTCCTTATATACAGGAAGCAGACCACATCCGAAAGGCAGCTACTCAGCTGCTTGTGGTAAATCCCACCATGGTATTGATTGCCAGTCTCATCATGGGGAATAACTACCACCAGCTTCCCAGCCACTCCACCAGGCCCAGCCAAGTTGACACAAAAACATAACCATCACAGCTTATCACTGCCTAAAAAATGGAAGAATAGATGGTGAGCCGTTGTGGTTAGTTCCCATTGAGTTGACTTCAACTATGGCAGCCTTATGTGTGACAGTACAAAATGTTGGCATCTTCATGATTGTTGGTATGTTTAGAGAAAGAAAGAAGTAGAGATCGACGCATAGAGAATGACATATATACATGGACAGAAAAAAAAAAGATGCAAAGAGATTTAGATTTACAAAGATGCTCAGTTAAACAGAGACTTACACACATGGACTCAGAAAGGTCGCAGGTAGAGGATGCAGTAGAAACAGAGTGAGGGGAACAGTCATGGAGCTAACCCAGCTACCAGTGCATCCTTTTTGTAAAATGGAAGGAAAAATGTAGTATTATATACAAAAAGAATAAATACTGCCAGGCTTTTTATAAAGATTGTTTCAATTTATATTTAAAGTTTTAAAGTTCGGGTATTTTTAAATTTTTTTGTCACCTCATTTTAATGCTGTTTGATAAAGGAAAAAGTCTGTGCTTATGAAGTAATGTGCTTTTTCTCTGATCTGGAGATGCTAAAAATAAAGACAAAGTTGTTTTAAAATCAGACCATATATTTGTGTCCAGTAAGAGATAGTACCTTTTCATACTTTATACATATTTTGTTTCTAGAGAAGCAGCTATAAATAAAAGTTATTTAAGGTGAATGTTTGTTTTTGTGTTTGAAAAACCTTTGACTCAGCATTTCTGCCTCAGGTATGATTTTTAGACATGGCAGTCAGTCAACACCGTATTTAGTCAAAGAGTATTCGATTGTAAATGATTTACAAAAAACAAGCAGAGTTGCCATTGAGTCAGATCCAATTCATGGTGATCTTGTGCGTATCAGAATAGACCTGTGTTCCATAGGGTTTTCAGTGACTGACTTTCTGGAAGTAGATCAATAGGTCTTTCTTCCAAGGCACCTCTGGAGGGACTGGAACCACCAACCTTTTGGTTGTCGGCCAACCAGGCACATTAACAGTTCGTACCATCCAGAGACTCCAGTCTCAAATGATACCACTATATAATACCATGTTTTCTAGGTGCGTATAAATCAGTTAAACATATATGATACAAAATTTAAATGGATACAGTGTGTACTATGCATTTAGTATTCAGTACACAAAGTTCTTATTTATTGTGTTGTCGTTTTTACCAGTAGATAATGCACAAAATAATATATTTGAATAAAACTTTGGTTTTGTAGCTAAGTTTTGTATTTCAGACATCACAATTATATTAACTGAACAATCTAAGATTTGGTAAAGCAGCCCTGGTTGCATAATGGTTAAATACTTGGCTGCTAATTGAAAGATTGGCAGCTTGAACCCACCAGCTGTTCCTCAGGAGAAAGATGTGGCAGTCTGCTTCCCTAAAGATTATAGCCTTGGAAGTTCTGTGAGGCAGTTCTACCCTCCATAGTCCTATAGGGTTGCTGTGAGTCTAAATCAGCTTGATGGGCAATGGGTAAGATTTGACTATCTGTGTCTGTATGTAGAGGCATAGTAAAAATTCTGCTAGTATTCATTTGATACACCAACTACTGAACTTACATAACTCAATGTGGTATAAATGTGAATTATAGACACAGTTCTTATAGCCGTAGGCAAAGATAGAATAAAGGACCAAACCAAACTCGCTGCTGTCAAGTCAATTCTGACTCATAGTGACGCCCATTGGGTTTCCAAGGCTGTAATTCTTTGTGGAAGCAGACTGCTTTATCTTTCTTCTGCAGAGCAGCTTGTGGGTTCAAACTGCTGACCTTCCCTTTAGCAGCCAAATGCCTTAACCTCTACACCACCAAAGCTCCTTTATAATAAAGGACAGTTAATCATTATTTGGAGTCTGTGGGTAATACAAATGGTTAATACACTTGGCTGCTAACCCAAAAGTTAGAGGTTCGAGTCCACCTTGAGGGGCCTTGGAAGAAAGGCCTGATGATTTGCTTCTGAAAAATAAGCCATTCCTAACCCTGTGGAACGCAGCTCTACTCTGCACATGTGGGGTCACCATGAGTCAGAGCTGAGTCTGTAGCAGCTGGTTTGGTTTTTAATCATTATTTAAAGAATGATTACTAGTTTGTGATTATCCTGTTGCTTGTGTTGTTTTTTTCCTCTGCTATTCTATATTGTATTTGGTGAATAACTTTATTACACAAAATAATACATGCATGCATTTGTGTTGTAAAAGATGCAGGTAATTTAGAAATATCCAGAGCAAAACATTTCCCTCCCTATACTCATCCTTCCTAGATCTCTCCCTAGAGATCATCACTCTTTACTTGGCATTTTTCTCTCTTCTCCCTCTTCTATTCATTTACATACATATACCTAAAAAAGATTTCTGTAGTTGATGCTAATGTTTTTGATTTGTTTTTTTACATAAAAGTAATATTATTGTCCTAGTGAGTACATAGAGTTCTATGTGTTCTCAAAACAGTGGCTTTATAATATTACGTTATTAGAAGGTACCATAATCATTGGTCTCTTGGTAATATGCAAGCAATATTGCAGTTCTCTGTGAAATAGTGTGTGGTAAGAAGAGGTATTTCTGTAAGATGGTGTTCTGGTTACCTAGTGCCACTCTGACAAGAGTATACCACAAATAGGATATCACCTTAACAAACAGGAGTTTATTCTCTTACGGTTTGGAGGCTTTAAGTCCAAGTTCAAAGTGCCAGGCTCTAGGGGCTGGGTGAAAGCCCTTCAACCTTGGGGTCCAGCTCTGCCTCCTGCTCCCGGCCCACTGGATCTAGAGGTATTTCTTCACTCAGCTGCTGGCTGCTGAGGCTGAGAAGCCCAAGGTTGACAAGTAAAAAGGCACAGTCCCAATGTTACAAACCACACGACAGGCCATTAATTCAAGTTCATTGTAAGTCCCAAGGTCGGCAGAGCATGGCAGGCTGCTGAACAATGACATGGCTACACGCAGGGTCCAAGCGTGCCATAGGCTAGAGACCATTCCCAAGGCTCCTGCTTATATACGGGAAGCAGACTACATACCCAAAGGCAGCTACTCAGCTGCTTGTGGTAGATCCCACCATGGAGCTAATTACTAGTCTCATCATGGGGAATAGCTACCACCAGCTGTCCAGCCACTCAACCAGGCCCAGCCAAGTTGACACACAAATGTAACCACCACAGATAGATTGCTAGTAATAGAATTATTAATGATAGATTCTACTAATTGCCTAAAAGGAAGCTTTACTTACTTTCTCACCACCAACAGCATTTGAGTGCAGTATTCTCTAAATCCTTGACAACAGTAGGTGAAAAGTAGCTTAGTTTAGTTTGCATGTCCTGAATACTAATGAGGTTAAACATCTTTTCATATAATTATTAATACGTTTATATTTCACCTTTAATAAAGAAGATTGGAAATGTAGTCAAGTAAAATTCCAGTATGTCACAATGTGTTGAAATTCTGTTTAAAGGTTTGATGAGAGGCAAGTTGAAATGAATGACCAAATGAAGGGCTTTATAATTATTTGATGACTCCAATTAATCCATGATAACTTTATAATTCATTAATTTATTAATTAAGGGCTAAACTACAAAGAGGCTGATAGCAATTCTTAAGGCATAAGACAATTTATAGCAGCAGTTTGTGTTCACACCTTTTTGTAAGTTCTGAGAAATTGACTGCTAATCAGAAGGCTGGTGGTTCAAACCCATCAGCCACTCCTCAGAAGGAAGGTTGGGCAATCTACTCCTGTAGTGATACTGCCTCAGAAACCCAAGGAGAGGTCACTGTGAGTCAGGGCCAACTCAATGGCACATAACAACAAGAACAACCTTCTCTGTTCCTTCCTTCATTTATTTTTTCAACTTGAAGCCCAAAGTTATAGGTGAAGAGAAAGGAAATCAATTATATAGGATAAAAAGAGACTATTGTTCAGGAAACTTTCAAGGCCCCCTTTTCCCATCTTTTGGAAACTCAGTGCTATCTGCTCAACTTATCCCATTTTTTCCACTCTGTTTTTCTGTAGTTAGTACCTCTTTGGATGGTCTTGTTCAGCCTGCTGTCCATAGGCCATCTGAAGACAGTGAGCAACCAACTAAAGCCACAGAGCATCCAGAAGCTCCTGTTCAAAAGCGACACAGGAAGACGAGACTACCTCTTGGTACGTGAAGAAACCAGTGTTAGGTGTGATAGCTGTGGTGAGTTTGAGACTGATGAAAACTTACTTGCTTCCGTTTTTCCCACATTCTTATCCTATAGATTTTTTTCTTTCTTCTTTCTTTATTTTGCCACTAGAGTAACTCTAATGGGTTAAGTCAAGAACATACTACAAGATCTCTTTTTGATCATATGTGTATAGTTGAGGTTGTTGTTGTTGTTGTTTTTATGTGCTGTCGAGTCGGACCCGATTCATAGCGACCCCTCCTTGGGTTTCCGAGGTGGTATTGCTGTGGAAGTACAGGACTAAAACAAAGGTCAGAGGCAGATCTCATTGCGTATAAGAATTCAGTATATGATGAAATGGGCATTTTAGACTAGTGGTGAAAGGATGGATTCTGTATTAGCCACAGTATAATGGGATGGTAGAAAACCAAACTCACTGTCCTTGAGTTGATTCTGACTCAGTAACCTTATAGGACAGGGTAGAACTGTCCCATAGGGTTCCCACATCTATATTCTCCATGGAAGCAGACTGCCACATCTTTCTCCCGTGGTGTGGCTAGTGGGTTTGAACTACAGACCTTTCAGTTAGCAGATGAGCTTTTTAACAACTGTGCTACCAGAACTCCTAATGGAACATTACCTGGCATTTACTGAGTCTTACTGTTGTTGTTGTTGTTGTTATGTGCCGTCGAGTCAGCCCTGACTCATAGCGACCCCTCCTTGGGTTTCCGAGGCAGTATCACTACGGAAGTAGGATTGCCCAACCTATGTGCCAGATACTGTTCTTAAAGTAAGTGAAATATACCTTCTTTTTTTTGCCCCTCTTATCAAATTGGCAGTGCTTTTTTTCCAAATTATAAAATCTAGTGTTGATGGGAAATAGGTAGACTCATAAACTACTGATAGGAGTGTTAATTGGTACAGTGTGTCTGTACTTCTAGGAATTTATACTCAATAAAAACTCACTGCCATCGAGTCGATTCAACTCAGTGACCCTTCCTTGGGTTTCTGAGGCTGTATGTCTACAGAAGTAGCTTGCCCAATCTTCCTTCTGAGGAGTGGCTGGTGGGTTTGAACTACCAGCCTTGTGGTTAGCAGTCAAATACCTGAGACACTATGCCACGAGAGCTCCTTATACTCAATAGCTACAGTAATTAAAGATTGTTAACTACAACTTTATTTGTAAGAGCAGTTGTTAGTTGCTGTCAGGTTGGCTCTGACTTATGGTGACCTTATGTATAACAGAATGAGATGTCATTTGGATGACTGACGTGCATCTAACCCAAGCCATGATCTTTTCAGTTTTCAAATTATTTATGAAAGTAGGGACTGGTAATAAGCCAACTGTCTAACAATGTGATGCTGGTTAAATAAGTCATGTTTCTTCATTAAATGGAAATGAAGTACCCATTAAAAGGAGTGTTGAAGCAGAGTAGTGACATGAAAAACCACCAGTAATATATTGTTAAATCAAAAACAAAGGTTATAAAATAGTGTATAGCAGAGGATCCCATTTTTGTAAAATGTGTATATGTATATGCATAACAAAAGAATGAAAGGATTTACTGAAGTGTTAGCAGTGGCAGGGTTTATGGAAGGAGAAATTAGGGTGATTTTGAAGTTCTTCCTTTTTTCATTTACATTTTCCATAGATGACTGGTTTTGTTAGACTAAGAGGAGAGAGGGTTGGAAGATTAACTCTTATGAACATATCAGCCACTATGGACAATTTATTACAAATTGGTTTCCTTGATTTTTTCTCTTAGAAAACAGCAGGTCCTGATTGATTGGATGGAAGAATTATATAGGTAGAGGGGTAGGAATTAGCAGACTCAGGAGAATGTGATCTTGGGAGGCAGTGAAAGTGAGATACCACAGTGCCTGGGAGCACTGGGTATCTGGGGAGAAGAAGTGGTCAGAAGATGGAAAATAGACAGAAATGAAGCTCAGACCAGCTTTACCTACTCTGTAATTTATTTCATTAAGTAGAGTTGAATTAAAACTATCTGCTTTGGCACATAACAGCAACAACAGCTTTGGTACAGATTTGAAAATCAAGATGGATACTGATAATCTAATTTTTAATTTGTGGAAAACATGTTTATAAAAGTGACCATTTTTAGAAAATTCAGTATCTAACCAAGTTCTGGGCCAAAAAAGACCTGTCACTGTCCTAATAGAATATACCCAGCCTTGCAGATTTCTAACTTTCTAAATTTCTGGGTTATTTTGTTTGTTTGTCTGCTTTTGTCTTGTTTTGTTCAGGATGACCATGACCATAGTAGGCTCTATTACTTTTCTTTGTATTTCCAGCCCAGGGTGTAAGTATATTTATTAAAACTGAATTCCAGGGACTTGAGGACATTCGGGGAACCAGAGCCAGTACTTTCAGGTAGGAAGAGTAGCTAGTGGATTAGAAGACGCCATTGAGTTGCCTAAACTTAATGCCCTGTCTGCATTAAAGAGTTAACATAACAGGCCTATGATTGATTATCTTCAGAAAGGCCTGCTTGCAAGGATGGACACTGGCTGGAGCTGGAGCTTGACTGGCAAACAATTTCCTACAATGATACAAAGCCTAAATGAGAAGGGTGGCTTATTATGCTTAGATTGTTTGTGCAAACAATGTGATTTATGCTGAACACCTTCTTTCCTTCTGGAAGTCTGGAATTATGGTAGGTGCTAGGGAGAGGGTGCCTATGTGATCAGCCTCCAATAAAAACCTTGGATACTAAGTCTCTAATGAGTTTCCCTGGCAGAGAATATGTCATCTGTTTGGTCAACTTGTTGTTGGAGGAATTAGCACATCCTGTGTGATTCTAGGTGAGGACCCTTAGAAGCTTATTCCTGGTTTCCTCTGGATTTTGCTCCATGCACTTTTTCTTTTTGCAGATTTTGCAGTAACAAACGGTAAGTGTGAGTACAATGACTTATGAGTCCTATGAGTCTTTCTAATGAAACCACTGAACCTTGATTTGATCTGGTGACCCCTGACACAAGCTGGGTATTATATTCTGTAACTTTTTTCCATATTGCTTGCTTCTGAAATTTCAAATTTTATGTTCAGCATTTAGAGCAGTAAAGCTTTAAAAATTTGGAAGATGGTGAAAAAATTTTTGGCCCTGTTAAAATTCTCAAAGTTCTTTTACCCTACAAGAATCTTTTGCATTACTTTCCCTTTTACATTATAGTCATTTGAAAACTTAATCTATTTTCTTTTCAGAATTAGAGACTTCCTTCTCCCAAAAGAAGGCATCTAGTCCATCTTTATTACACAGTGAAAATGGTACTGATGTGGAGCCAGCTGAGGAGGCAGTTATTCAAAAACCTCGAAAGAAGACAAAGTAAGAATTTATCTGTCCCTCTAAATATTCTCTAGGGACACCCTGATGCTTAATTTTGGGCTCACAGATAGTAGTTTGTCATTAAGTCTTATTAAATAATTGTAGCTGTAAAGCTCTGTTGTTGTTGTTGTTGTTATGTGCCCTCGAGTCAGCCCTGACTCATAGCGACCCCTCCTTGGGTTTCCGAGGCAGTATCACTACGGAAGTAGTATTGCCCAACCTTCCTTCCGAGGAGTGGCTGATGGGTTTGAACCGCCAGCCATCTGGTGAGCAGTCAAGTGCCCTAGCCACTATGCTACCAGAGCTCTAGGATAAGTAATATTACAAAAATAAAATATCAGTTAAACCAATCTGAAGATACATTTGGAAAAAATAAACCACTGATTAAAATAAAATAGTATTCTTAAATTAAAAAATCTTGGGAGCTGACTCAAAATGAAGACTGTAGCAAAAAAAGATAAATTAATAAAATAGGCTAGTATGACTTACTGTCTTGTGTGTTAACAGAATTCAAACTGATTATTTCAGCAACAAATAAAATACATATTTTAGCATAGAAAATTAAATATTAGGAATTTGTTGTTGTTGTTAGGTGCCGCCAATTCATCTGTGACTCATAGCAACCCTATTCACAGCAGAATGAAACACTGCCCAGTCTTGTGCCAGCCTCACAATCCTTGCTATACCTGAGGCCATCGTTGCAGCCACTGTGTCTGTCCATCTCATTGAAGGCCTTCCCTTCTTCATTGACCCTATACTTTACCAAGCATGATAGCCTTCTCTAGGGAATGGTTCATTCCAACAACATGACCAAAGTAGGTGAGATGAAGTCTGACCATTCTCACTTCCAAGGAGCATTCTGGCTGCACTTCTTCCAGGACAGACTTTTTAGTGCTTTTAGCAGTCCATGGTAGTCTTAGCATTCTTCTCCAACACCCAACTCAAAAGCGTCAACTGTTCTTCAGTCTTCCTTGTTCACTGTCTAGCTCTCGCATGCATAAGAGGCAACTGAAAATACCATGGCTTGGGTTTGGTGCACCTTCGTCTTCAAGGAGACATCTTTGCTTTTCACTTGAAAGAGGTCTTTTGCAGCAGATTTGCCCAATGTAATATGTCATCTGATGTCTTGACTGCTGCTTCCATTGGTGTTGATTGTAGAACCAAGT